GAGCCAGATGCTGCCTTCAGCTCAAGTCACATAGCTTTAGTAGTGGCTGGACTGACAGCTAAGAAGCACCACCCTGCATGTGTTGTAATAAATGTAAAGAAGCGATTACTTACCAAAGGGAAGCCACTCGAGTGAATTAATATATTTAACTCTTGCATAATAAAAATATTCCACAGTAGTTTTCAAAGAGCCCCTCAATACACACTGTACATCCTTCTGCTTCTACCACTCCTTAGGAAATTATGGTTTCTAAAATGTGTGAGTTGCTTGCAGGGTTCTATACATTTTACTCCATGTAACCTGAATTGATTGACACAAACTGACATTTTATTTTTACATCTGGACTATTTCATTTCTTTTCTTAACACTACTCCTCTGCAATGACATATCAAAAACAACATTATCATCTAGGACTTGATGAATAAAAAGACACACAGAAGGAAGAAACCATCTGGTAGAAAGAAAAAATATCCATCTTCTGTCCAGGGGATCAGGACTATAAATAAAAACCTACTGATCTGAAAGGATATTTGAATGTACTGGTCAGACTGTTTTACTGTTAGCCACACTTCAGTACATCCTCCTGCAAACGCAGCGCAGACTGATGGAGAAACAGTCCACATGCTTATTGATTTTTTTTTCCTTTATTTAGGTTTCAGGCAGTGGAATTTCAGCACAAGAATCATTGTTTTCAGATTCTTTGGTACATTTGAGGTTGGAACAAAATGGTGAATTGTGGAATTTTGGAGCTCAGATGTATCAGATCCAGAATGATTAGCTGGCTCCCCTCTTTTCAAAGTAAGCAGAATGGTGGTATGTTAATAATGTGAGATTTTGATCCTCTTCAGGACTTCTGGCACCAAAGCAACCCTACCTTTGCCATTGGTTACATTAGAACCTTTTATTTTTAGTACAAGTAGCAATGTCTAAATCAATTTAAATGACCAGCCTCATTGATTCTGGTCATTCTTTTCATATTTCATTGTGATTTGAGATGGTGGAAGTGTTCCAGCATTTACATCAAGGTTTTGTGAGCACTCCAGGCACTGTGGGTAAAACACATTACTATCATATTTCTTATGATACCATGCCATGTAAATGTTCACATGTCCAATAAGAATTGTTTAAATGACTCTTAAAAACTGGGCTGGGCTCACATGTTCTCCCTAAATGATCTGTGTACTTAAAGCCAAGTAGAAACAAATTTTAGAAATCTCAGCTGGATTCTCAGGCCTTTACATTGTGGTCTCCACACCCACACTGCCAAATGGAGGTGGCAGAACTCTGGGGTAACACAAGGATGCAGAAACCTGGTTCTTTTTCAGACTCTGCCAAGGAATGAGATAGCATGTACAAGAAAATACACGTGCAGTTAAATAGAGAGTGTGGCATCACATAATGTCCTTGGAAGAGAAGGCATGATCCTGTTCAGGACAACACCTTTTCAGTCCACTTGAGTCAGTGGTGACTGCTAGGGATGAAGGATGTACCAGGAGCCGACGAGGGTCCTTCAAATCTCCTGAGAGCCACTTGTCTAAAAAGGTGTGTTTGAGTGGGGACATCTGGGACAGCTTAAAAAAATCAGTGACTACTTTTCTGTTTTACAGTAGTCACTGCTTTATTTTTGCTTTTTCGGCATAACATTTAAAAACACTGAAAAACAAAGATGTGACAACTTTTCCCTCTGAAATCATAACCTGGAACAAAAACCCATAAAAATACCCCGGAACCTGAAACCTGAAACCACAGCCATGAAACAGGGAGCTCTGATACCACTGGGTGATAGATGAGCTCCATGGAAGCACAAGGTGGCCACTGCCTGCAGCAGGACTTGGATGCTGAACAGAAGCCTTTCAAAGCCCAGAGACACAGCAGCTGTGTTCCCTTGATGTCCTGGCCTCTGCCACAGTCACTCTTACCACAACAAAGCCACTTGAGCATGTAACACAATTAGGATGGGAAAAAATGTGCATGCTCCCCTCACTGCCCCCAGGAGCATGAGGGATGAGGCAGCCAGGTCCGGGGAGGAAGCGGCTGTGTGCCGACATGCTGAAATCTGTGCCTCTGAAGATTTCCTACAGAGTTGTTGACAGCAACTAGATATCTCATGGCCTCTCTCTCTCCAACCTACTCGAGTGCTTCTGAACTCATGGGAGAAGTGGTCTGATGCACAGGAGTTATATGGTGAGGGGTGATCTCAGTTTATGAAAGTTTTATGCATGTCAAAAATAAACCAAAAAAAAAAAAAAAAAAAGGCATTAACCACTGAACGCCCTGCTGAATTATATAGCAAGCTTTATGAGCCAGGCACAGCCCTGTTGCTGAGCAGTGATGGTTTCTCATGGGACGGTATCCCCAGGGTGGAGCAGTGCTCTGGTGGGGACTCTGCCTGCCTGGGAACACGCTGTGCTTGGGGTGCCTCATCTGGGGGCAGCTGTATCAGGGAGCACAGCATGAAGCTGGCATGAAGGCACAACAGTTGTGGGGTTGCTGTCCCTGAGAGGTACTTTCTTTTTGTCTTTGTGAAAGTGGGAAAATGGGAAGACAAAACTGAATAAATCAAAGAGCGCTAGGAATCTTATCTGGTAACTTCTGCTACACATACAAGGACTATCAGTGATTGAGAGAGATGTTCTGAACATTGTAATACGAGTAGTTTTCAGTGAAAAGGTGATAATTCAACAAGAAAGTTGTTAGATCTCCTCCTTCTCCTTCTCTTCTCTTCTCTTCTCTTCTCTTCTCCTTCTTTCCGTAGAGGAGATGTATCTAGTCGAGGAGCTTCGAGCGCTGAAGTTATAGAAGCTGGCTCTGCTCTCGGTATCTTCTCTCTCTTCTCGTCTCTCTCTTCTCTCTCTCTCTTCTCTTCTCTTCTCTTCTCTTCTCTTCTCTTCTCTCTCTTCTCTTCCTCCCTCTCTCTCTCCTTTCCTTCCTCCCTTCCTCCCTTCCTCCCTTCCTCCCTTTTCTTCTATTTTTTTATTTATTATTTTTTTTCTCCACAGAATTATTTTGATGTCAATGAAAATTAATTCAGAAAAAAGGTGGGAAAAATATTTTAGCATTTTGGAATGGAGTTTTCATTTAAATCAAAAACAACTTTTCAGTTGGAAATTAATTTTCTCTTCAAAAAAGGAATTCAGACAACAAAATATATTTTAAACAAATAAAACTACATTGCAACAACTAATTGTTTCTAAATTCCATTCTATCAAAAATCTCAGAATTTCTGAGGGTTTTGCTTCAGCTCAGGTCTAAAAGCATGTCAAAAAATAACAAATACACAATGGGTCCAAATAATGTTTTCTCAGCATCTCCAGTGACTGGAGGTCAAAGCTCCAAGTTGGGTGTTGTCCAAACACAACAGCTGGAGTTCTGTGTTGAGTCATGCCAGTGTTTGGCCTTAGTCGCACCAATAGCTCTGATATTTTACGTGTTTGCACCAGTGGAAGCAGGCATGTTAACACTGCTGATATTTCAAAATTTAGAAAGTTAGTTGCACAGCTATTATTTACTTTCTTCGGTTCTGAAGGGCACCAGGCATGAGGTCTGCCAAGCTGCACCGAAAGCTGCTGCCACACCGGGGAAGGTCAGATGGGAACTGAGCACCCTCTATGGTCATCAGATTTTTTGGCTTGCTCTGTAACATTACAAAGACCAAGTGATGCACTGCTTCAAGGAGTTTGATTAGTCAACCTTTTTTTTTTTTTCTAAAATCAAAAGAACTTAGTTTTGTAGGTCTGCTATACTCAGAATAGTACTGGAGTCACTTGGGACTGACCATAAGAACAGGCTCAAGAAATAAGATGCCTGTTTGGTGTAAAAGGACACACACTTTCTACCTAAACTTGTAGTAAGGTTTTAAGAATTGTATGTGGCTCTAAGGGTGTAATTACATTTCTCTTCTTGATCTTTAAAACAGGAGATCAATATTTACTAACAATAGGTTTATAAAACAAAAAGCATCAAAGGATGCAAAATCCATTTTGCTAGTGTTTGCACAGTTCAGTGAAACTGTACGTAAACATTAGTATATAATCAAATCGAAATATAAACCCACTAATGAGTTAGTTTGTTGACTGATGATGAATCATGTAAAGGAAAATGCAAAACATTCAGCACTGAAATTTTTCAAAGCAGTTTAGTGAATTTAGATGCCTAGTTTCTGATGGGAGGTGTAGATTGAATGTTCCTCCATTGCCTTGATTCCTTCATTGGTTATATTAGATAGGGTATAACATCACTTTCATCAATCATACAGTCTCAAACAGATCAGTTGAAAATAAAGTCAATGAGGCAATGAGATCATTGTATAGGAAAATTCATATTTTTCCCTGTCTGATTAGTTGCATTGCTGCTATAGCTAAATTGTCAGCTAAATGCCAGCCAGTACCCCGAAACTGTAAATACATATGCATATTGACTGTAAAGAAATTAAACCCTTTAGGCTGAGTTATGCACATGTGTAAGTGTTAGCAGAGTAAGCATCTAAATTATGCCCTACTATGTATTACACAGTGTCAGCAGGGGTGTAAGAATGATAGTTGTATGAGCTCACTTCTGAGTTGGAAACTGTTAAAAAATACATGTGTATAGCATTGTTTTCTTTTACCTTAATGTAAACATTTCATATGCTTCTCTGTTTGCTGACAGCTGTTCAAAAATGCAAAGCTCTAAATGATGAATCTTTGTCCCACACAATTTCTTTAGGTTCCAGAAATAATGGTATGAAATTAGTATAAATATACTGCTACTAATATGAACTGGATGGACAAAACAAACAAACCAAAAAACAAACAAACAAACAAAAAAAAACACACTACATTTTCTGTCCATGATAACAAATTGATAAAACATTCACAATGTTGTCTTCATTCTTTCCTTTTGCATTCAATACCAACATTTTAACATTAGACATCTTTATTATAGAAATAAAAATAGTATCTGCAGAACTAGAATTGAATTACTCAATAGGGGAAAAAAGGCAGCACATTAAAAATTTGAAAACATATATAGTAATTTTTAATTCATATCTTAAATTGACAAAGCCAGAATTATTTATAAAGCTTTTCCCACTCTTTGCAGGAAATAAAAATAGAGAAATCATTCCCCTGCTACACAATCATTTTATTACAATAGCTCACCACCAATATCAATCCATGGTAACACCATTGCTCCAAGAAAGTAAGTACCTGTGGAAAGCAGCCCGTCTCCTCTGCACAAACTCTGGCTCATGGAATCTCCCATCTGGTGTCCCTTGCTAGGGCTAGTCTATTAACATTTTGCTGCCAGAGATTGACACTGACTGATGCTTTTGTCATGGTGAGACCTTCATGGTATCAGGGCCAGATTAAGATCTCAGGGCTTTTTATCTATTCCTTAGGAGCTGGCTCCTGGAGGCATGTGAGTATTTCAGAGTCTCAGCATCATAAAACAATTCTGCCTGAGTGTAGCTGATGACTGAGCTTGCAGAGAATCCAGAAAACAGGCAATATACTTGCATTTGCCCTTGTATTTCACTAATGTAGGATGATGGGAGGGACAAGGGCCTCCATTACCACTCCAGGCGAGCATGAATGTTGTCAGCGTGAAAAGTATGCTGCTATCTCTGCCTTGCAGGAGGGACTTTGCTCCCTATTCTATGAGATTAGGGATACCCAAATGTGATTTCCTCAGACATGAGAAAGGAAGTCTGTTACTTCCAAAAAGAGAGCCAGGAGTGGTGCATATAGAGCCTAAATTTGTACTGGTCGTAGATGAAGAGATCCCAGTGTTGTGAATGCAGCTAAGTACCTTCAGTGAACAAGGCAGGAGCTTCTGTCATGCTACAGAGATTGACTTGGGATCCAAGCTTTTGTATAAAACCCTGCCGCGGTGGCCAGCTACAGCCCAAACCCAAGCCTTGTGCCATGATGTACAATCTGTCAGATAGGTACTGCCCATGGAGGACTGTGTGCTCTGAGCATGGCAACACACAAGCATATTTCAGGATGAATAGGTACCTTTCAAGTTAACAGCAACATTATGTAAAGTTTCCTCCTTGGAAACAGTTGGGTGCTTTCAGCCCTACAAATTGCCCTTCACCATCTGAGCCCCCAGGTGAAATGGAAATAAGCAAACCTAATGCTTAAGACAAGGAGAGCCTTATTGGATACCAGATGGTTTGCATGTAGATAAATGTATATGGATGCACACAGGTCTTAAGCCTGGTGTGTGGGTTCTGTGCTGTGTGGGTTTTATTTCTCTCAGATCGTTGGTAGAGAAGGAAATCTACAGTCAGTTTATAAAAGCCTCTGGGAAGAGCCTCCAAAATGCTTGTGGAAGCAGTGCAGGGCATCTACTGCAATTCAAGGTGAACAGTATTTGTTTTTGTTGACTTCATACAGTTCCTTACATCCTTATAAATCTTTGTAAACATGAGCATGCTGCTCCAAAGAAGGCAAATCCTTTCTGTACACAAGAGGTGCTTACATCTATGTGCGGCGTGCTCCTGGGCTGCCAAAAACTACTCTTGGGAAGCAATCCAGAGGCACTTGGAGGTCTGGTCAGTGTTTGCTTTGGAAGGCTGCTGCTGGAAATTGCTGCTGAAACCTTTTTTACTGAGTTTTTTTCTCTCACTTACATATACTTCTTCCAAAAACTTTCCAAGAAAGAAAAAAATATATTTTTTCCCTCTGAAACACTGGCTATCTAGAAAGTAAGCATTCCAACCAAACTTCAAGACATTTAATTAGTAAATTCTGCAGCACTGCTTCCCTGGATTTTTATTTTTATTTATTTTTATTATTTATTTTTATCCCCATCCCCTGCTATGGATCAAATTCTTTGCATATCCCACAATGTGTTCTGAAATGTCAACTTCTCACTTAGGAATGATGACACGTTCTGACATTCATGGATGAGACCTTGGGGTATTCATAATAAACTCCAAGATATGGATTAAGTGGAAATATAAGGACTTTAACAATGCTTCATACTGAAGTTTTGTAAAGACGTGACTGTACCTTTTTTAGTATTTAGATGTCTACAGAATCAAAATTTTACCTGTGGAACAGAAGAGAGCTGTGTAGAGAAATTCATCCTTAACCAAGGATCCCCTAGATTATCAGAAAATAAAATGAAGAAGATTACTGATTATCCTTAAAATAATAAAACTTTGCCCCACACTAGACTCCTATACACAATAAACCAAACCAGCAGATTCCAGAACCCCCAAAAGGCTCCCAGCCCGTGGAAATCCCTTCCCCACCTGCAAGCAGCCACATGCTGCATGGGGAAGGGGTAAAAGGTGCCCTACCATTTGGGAAGATATATTCCCACATGGAACACCTGATTCCTGAGATTATGATTTTTTTAGTAGCAGCTACAGGAACCAGAGATGAGAGCAGTAGCCTATCTTTCTTCCTTCTCCTCACTGTGCTGTATTCATTATGGCCTTTAAACAGTTTTCTTCCTCCTCAGAATTCTTCTGTACCCACCATGCTGTGCTAATGCTGCACCAGACACTAGCAGGGAGAATGACACCTTCATTTTACCTCAGGAAAACATTTTTCATTCCCGTAATTCAAACCATCAAACTAAGTAAGACATATTTAAAATGCAAGAATATCCTCAGTTTACAAAAGCTAAAGATGTTGTTTTCATATTTTATTAAGATATTGGATATTCATTTTCTTCTACTGAAATTGAAACATGAAGGTTACTGTCACTAATATAATAATATTTTATATATATAAAAAAATACTTTGGAAACTATTTGCATCACCTACAAGTCAAGCCAGGAATGAGACTATCAGCTTTTTCCTTGCCAAAGCAGCTATACCATTCAGCACTTGTAATGAGAAGTTTTATTCAACTATTTATACTGCAGTTACTGACTATAAGGAATCCATGATATATGCGTTACCTAGTTGAATATTTCTTACAGGTGCATGCTGACAACTACTCATATAAAAAAGCATTAGGGTAATTTGGCTCCAGCTGGCATCCAGCCGAAATCAGGCCTGTGTGCGTCTGCCTGGGTAGACACTTGTTCAGGTTCTTGTATAAAATATTTTCCTTCCACAGTCATTCTTGAAAGCATACTTTTCCCATATCAGTGTTCATGAATACTAAATAAAAGGCAAAGAAATTGCCCTCAAAGGAAACTCTTCATTTTTATTTAAATGAATACCTAATGAATCTACTTAAAAAGTACTTGCCCCAGGATATTTCTAGAACTATCTGTGAACAGAAACCTGTAAAATTAAAATATTAAGTGCTGAACATTTTATGGTATGGGATAAAGCTTTCTTCCTATTGCAGTGTGCAATAAAAGCACTGTGGCCAGGCATGCAGCACACTGCTGGTGAAAGGTGGCAGACACCTGCTTGTGCTGTGGATGCTAAGGCAAAGAGGATCCTTTACTCTAAGGCAAAGTACAGCACATCCACAGCAGGAAACTCTTCCTCTAACTGGTCTTATGAAAGGAAGGATAAACATAGTTTCCTTAGGGTTTTAAGTCTACCAGTTCAGCTTAAGCATGTTTAGGCTATTTGCCATGTCTGCCTTAGCGAAAATGCTGGTCCATGTCTGAAGGCGCACAAGGCAATGAACAGCAGAAGTTTCTACTTGGAGTTTGGGGGGTGTTATGTGTTGTTTTACAATGTAGAGTTTTATTTACAATATTAAAAGAAGTACTTAGTGAACATTCATTCATTAAATGCCTTCATGCCCACAAGAAGATGATAGGTATTATCACTTGAGGCAGACAGGCAAAGAAATAGCAGGCATCAGAGCTCATCTCTCAGCCCTGGCTCTGCCCTTTCCCAAGCTTCCCCCCTAGAAGATGGGTATAAGCCTCAAACAGATTGCTTTGGTGTTTGCTGGAAAAGGAGGAGGAGATGCTTGAGAGAAACATCTGCAGAGGAGCATGCCCAGATGCCTGCAGAATATGCAGGTGTGCTCTGGGACTTGGTGACAATGCTATTGCTACAGGATGGAGGCAAAGATGTTTTAGCCATTTACATTTCAGTCAGGATAAACAAAAAGAAGAGTTTTCTAATTGTCAAGAACTACCAAAACCAAAAAAAAAAAAAAAAAAAAAAAAAAAGCATGATCAGCCTCATTCTGCTCTCATTCTGCTCCACTGAACTGTACCACTAATGTTTCTTACTCTTCCCAAGACCTGTGGCTCTACCAGCAGTGCTCAGACACAACAAATGTTTCTCCAACCACCCTGGCATGCTTGGCTCCCTCTTTCTGCACAGTTCTGTGTTTGTTCAAAACTCTGCACTTTTTCTCTCCTCTGTCACCCTGTCATATTTTCATAAGTATAAGATTATTTTTGCTCTGTTTTCCTTCAGTTTTCATATTGGATTTCATTTTAATTTATTCACTGACCTTTTCCCTCCTAATGGTTTTATTATTGACTGTGATACCACAAGAGACTACATACCTCTTTTATGAGAGGTCTCCCTGAGGGTTTCCCAGGCTTGCTCTTATTATATTTTAAGTGAACTTCTGTACTTCTGAGACTGGTCCTAGCCACCTGGAGACCAGTAAGAGGCTCATTCCTGGTTCCAGAGGCACATGACTTATCACTGAAATTACTGAGACTTTAGGGTGAGACTTTCTACAGCTCCGGTTGACTTCAACAGCAATCTCCTTTGTTCATCTGAGGGTACTATTCAAGCCACAACTCAGCAAACAAGTAATTGAATTTTTTTTTTTTTTTTTTTTTTTCCAGAAGATATGTCAGAGTTAACGGGCAACTACTTAGGCAGCTTGAGGCAAAATTGAGGTCTCTCATTTTTAATGCTTCATACACTTACAGGTACAGAACTCTGAAGCAAAATGGTGACCATCTATTGTACATTCCTGCCAAAAACACAAGTCAGAGAATTTCACTTCACCAACCTCAGTTAAAGCGTAAGTCAGATAAGTGTGAAGGGTTAATCAACCTCACATTTAAAATGTACTCTGTATTTACAGCCTAGATTTCTCATAAGCCCCTCTCTACCAGCTCTTTACATTTCTCTTTTCAACAATATAAATCTTTGTTTGCTTCTCTCACTATAAGCCCTTAGAGAGTGTGACAGATTCTGAAAGCTGTAAATTCTGTGAATTTTGTAGTATCCTGAGAGATGGCTCAAAATTCCTTTCATTCGCTTTTTGTTTTAAACTATAAATAGAGCCTTCTTTCTGCAACCAGTCTCCAAAGGTCACCTTACGATGTTTTGCTATTTCCCGTATTAAGCAGCAATGCTTTTCAGCTGACATTCCAACTTCAAGTCATGCATATGAGCATGATGTGAGCTTGCTGCAGACTACAGTGAGAGGGCTGCAAACAAGACTGCTATATAATTGCTGAGAAGAACAACATCCATTGTCAAAAAGGGCACTTCATCAAACAAAATCTAGCTGCATGAATACAAGTGTCTCCAAATGTTTGGTTCATGCTAAAAATATAGCACATTTATTAAAAATATATATTTATAAACATTGGTATGAACAGACACAGATGTTAAGCAAATGAGAAAGGAAAAATAACCACATACTGTATTTCTCCCAACATTTTATCAGTTTTAGGCAGATCTTGCTCAATAGAATTGTTTTTTTTTTTTTTTTTTTTTTTTTCATGATTGCACCATATGTTCATTCTAAACAAAAAGCTTGTCAGATTCAATGTAAGTAAAAGGAAAAACCAAGAGAAAAAATAATTTGACCTAATGGACATGTGATGTGTGCTATGTAGCTATCTTTGAGTTCAATCCTTGCAGGTATACAGTATACATTTTTAATTGATATTGTGTACAGTTTATTTTCTTTCTTTTTTTTTTTTTTTTTTTTTTTTTAATTGTGTTAAAACAACATAACCCCAGTGGATTTCTTCAAAGCTACAACTTACATAATTGCAGTCATTTTTTCCCCAAAACTGAAAACCAAAGCGAAAGGAAGAGGGTAGGACAGAAGAGTTTAGCTTGTTACTGTGTGAAGAAGTCTTGCTAAATTAATTGTGCTTCAGCCTTCACTGCCTGCAGGCAGTGCTTTTATGATGTGTTAATATAATACAGAGTCAATTCTGATTAAAGAACTTGTCAATAGTCAGCAATGTTTGTCATCACTCTTAATGGCCATTTTATCTGTTCTATTTGCATGCCTGCTAGTTTACAACGTTGTGTAAATGTACACAAAAATGATCACAATGAGGTTCAGAATTGTCCCAATAATTCCAAGCATTGCCAAGATGGTTTCTTCTTTGCTTTCCTTTTCTTGACTGCCTTTATCTTCTTCATTTCCACTAGTGATTACCATCTTGGTGGTCAGTTTCTTTATCCTCCCCTTCAGGATAATCTAGAATTAGGAAGAAAAATATCAAAACAGATCATTAGGTTGATTTTCCAAGCTCATATTAACAGTGGAACCAACTGTAGAATTTATGCCCCTAAATACTTTATACTAATAATTTAATTTACATTAAGAATTCACTTTTAAAATGTTTAACATTTTTATTAGCTATTTAGTAATTGCTTAATTAAAATTATAGTTCAGCTAGCCTGAAGATTTCTTGTAACTCTCTGTAACACCTCTGTTTATGTGCCAGCCACCATTTCTAGCACATATAAATTGTCTGCACTGTTGTTATAAGCTGGTTAGAAATGTACCACTGAGGTGTGATTCCCTCCAATATTAGGGGGGTCTTGGTCTGCATTAGGACTGCAGAAGACAATCTTGGAAACTTGCAGAGAGCCTAGATTTACATTTCAGTACCAGGGAGTGAGTCGGTGAGAGAAAAAAAATAAATAAATCTGGGAAGCCCTCATTCCTTTTTAACAAGAAAAACAACCAAAGACAAAGACATTTTGTTTCCTGACAAGAGGGAAGACAGCAGTGACTTCCCACTAAATAATTCAAAACAAAAGCAAAAACAGAATAACATCCATCTTGGCTTTTCTTTTCCTCATTCTTAATGTACAATGAAAAGTTCCTTGCAGTGCAGTGAGCTGAGGTATTGATCTGCCTGCAGGGAGGATTCAGCCATTTCCTAAGCAGCAGCTCCAGCATCTGAACTGCTTAAGACAGAAAATCCTACCAGTCTGGGACCAGCCCTGTCTCCAGGCACTGCTAGAGCTCCCTTGGTGTTCCAGCCAGGTGCTGAGACCTGGGTAAACATTTGATTGTTCAAATTAGAAAAGGATAAGTTCTATTTATCCATGCCTACCTTCATCTCATGCTATAAAATTGGACAAAACAGGCAAAACAGACTGCCCCAGAAAACTGGAAAAGACTGGCTGGTTTCCCACAGCAAACTGATCTGCCAGGAGCTGGGTTCAGGCTGTGCCCTGCTGTTGTCTCCCCAGCTGCCCACTGTGTCCTGTGACCTTCCTGCTGCTGGAAATCATGGCAGGAGTTAGCAAAAAATGCCCCCCGAACTGTTGCTGCTCACAGGAAGGGTTGGTTGGAGAAGAAAGGAAGGACAGGCACTTCCCAAATTTCTCCCTCATGAGGAATTTACTCCTAACTCATGGAGCAAACATACCAGACCCCAGCAGCTTGGATGCACAGTGAGGGGAGGCCACCACCTGCTGAGGCACACGTCCCCCAGCAGGATTCCCAAGGGGCAGCCTAGACCTGCAGCTCCATTGAGGTCCTGGGCCACACAGCCATGGCACAGCAACTGGAACACCAAAAGAAAGGACTGGAAGAGGGGAGGAAATCTTCCATCAGAGAGACTGGGAGGAAGAAGAAAGGGTCTAGACGAAACAATCTGTATTTTTTACATCTGCAAGATGTTCTTATATAAGACAGCAACTGCTAGCACCACTCTACGAAGGGCTTTGTGGTGCAGCTCCAGCAGGTACAAGTGATGTACAGGTGATTAGCAGGGAGTAAGGCAGAAGCAGGAGGTGCCAACAGCCTTTACTCTTATGCTTGCATTAGCATTTATGTGCTTGCCTTGTTGTCACCAAGGGATTCAGCAGAAAACAAGGAATCAGATGGTGACCTGAGGGTATTCATGGCAAACACAAGTCAACGGGAGCAGGGGGCAATGAGGAGAGGGATGCTGCATCAATCAGAGCATGGTAATCCAGGAGGTCCTCTGGTAACCTGTCCCAGGAGATCAACACTTCAGAGGCACTGGGCATCTCCCAGAGCACACTGGCTCCTGGATCCCTTCCATCCCTCTGAAACTTTCAGGTCCCCAGTTTCCTCTAGACACTGTCACCAGCAACTCCTCCTGAAGGACCTCTTCCAGCAGCAGAAAGGCTTTGGCGTATTTGCCTTCTACATAGCATCGGACCACAAGCCCACATCCCACGCTGTGACACGCAGCTCTTGCTTCACCCACAAAGCTGTGAGTCATTTGGATATCGTGTTCTCTTCCCCTTCAGTAACTGAGAGGTTGTCCCTCTGGCTTAATGTCTGTACTTCACTGTTCATTTGAAAAATCGAGTGGAACCACAAATACAGTCAGATAAAATCCCAGGCCTGGAACACAAAGATTTGAGGGGAGGGTGCAAAGGTTGCATCTGAAATCTCTGCAGGCTCATTCCCTCAGAGCTGAGCACTCTTGATTCAGCATTTCTGGATCCCACAGAAACAAAACCCCAAGAATTTTGTGGGTCGAGCCCTTCTGGCTCTGAAAAAGGCCAGAGAAGAAGCATTGATTAAAGCATGGGTCTCTCTGCGTAAATTGTTTGGGCAGAGTTTCCCACTCACATCAATGTCTAGAACCTCAGCTGGAGCAGATTTGCACACACACTGCACCCACCAACTCACTCATCTTGGGCACAGCATCTCTGCACCACACGTGCTCAGTGATCCTGTTTCTTGGATTAAAGTGAGCAGAGGCAGCTTAAGGACATCTTAACCCCTACTATTAACATCCCAAGTCTTTTCCTGATACATTCAAAGTTTGCATCACACAATTACAGTGTAAAACTCTTTCCTGCAGGACACCATAGACTGTAAAATTAACATAGATCTAAAAAGTAGCTGAATAATTCACAAAAGTAAAATCATATCAAAGGCTAATAAATATAAAGAAAAACCCTCTGGCTTAGTAAGTCCTTGAGTGATGATTTTATTTTTATTTTTTTTTAGAAGCTGTGTAAGTATTGTGTGGAGGTATCACTACCTCCTCACCTTGATATTAAAATCTTTCCAGACACCCACTGCTGGCTTCTGTGAGAGAGTGGTCCCCAGGGTGCACAGTTTCTGATCTGAGGTCATGCAATCACTTTCGTATTCTTTTCAGGTTGTGATTACCAACAAGGAGATATTGAGTAGTTTAAAATCTGAACACCACCAATGCAACTCAGATTATTACAGTAAGGGGTCTTAACCAAGGGGAAAGGTCTTTGGTGTGATTCAGTGAAGTGTGCGTGGAGAAGCAGACGACTGGGGCATGATGAGTATGGAGGAGCAGGAAAGCAATGAGGTGGCAACAAACGCAGAGTGGGCTGATGCACAGCACGATCTACTGAAGGTTGTGTCTCCAACAGCCTCTGACAGATTGCTCCTGCCATGCCTACATGCTGTATTTGTCTCTCTCCACAATGCAGCCTGGAAACTTCATGAACTGCATCTTTATTGGATGAAACTATACCCAAAGATGTGCTCCCCATATGCTACAAAAAACAGTGGGAATTTCAATCCATGGGAACACAAACCCCCAGGCAAATGCTGGTCTGAAGTATAAGCCCCAAAACAGCTGTAATGTGGATGCTGGCACCATTAGTGGATGGGTTGCTCCAGTGGGACCACATTACTTGCTCTTTTATACCTCCCCTAAACTACAACAGAGACCACAACAGGCGTGAGTAACAGGTGCTTAGCATTCAAACAGGAAAAGACTGGGACCAAATACTATTATATGAGTACTTTGCCAAATATAGCACCACTGAAATCAAGGTGAGCTTTGACTTTGAACAGTGAGGAGATCAGAATCAAAATTACTTCTCTACATTTATGGGCTGACCTTGGAGAAAAGGCACACTCTCCTGATACCAGACTCAAGCCTTTCACCTTCACAGATCTTGTGCTCAGAGGGGAATTTTGGCTGACTGGGTTTTGTGGGTATTTTTTGCTAATGGGAAAATAGTTGTTGGTGGTTTCAGTTTAATTACCCTAATTAAGATTTTTTTTTTCCCAGCCTTTATTATTCTCTTCTGAAAATTGATTTAATTTATTTGACATTGTTTCATGTTTTAAGATTCTTTCGACACATTGCTCCTTTTATAGTTTTTCTGATGGGACTTCAGGCTTGTCAGAAACACTCTTTCTCCTTACCAGAACTGCTGATAGAGATAGGAATGATAGTGAACACTAGAATTACCAGTTCTTTAATAACTATTCTTCTAATTCAAGTACTATTTGATTAGGTAAGTGCTCTCCTGTCATATCAAAATTAATGCGCTTCCTATTTCATTTTGCAAGATTCGTCATTAACCTGATATCGGTCTTTTGAAAAGATGTATATTCTGAAACGATATACCTGAAAAGGTATGTATTCCATGTATTCTTCATTGCATGGGGGGAAAAAAAAGAACAGCTCAGTGGTTAGAACAGATCTCTGATATTCATCTTCTTGAGCTACTGCTGACTTACGTATCTAGGGGAAATCCACTTTGTTTCCCCCTGCCTCAGTTTCTCATCTGTAGGATGCCTTGAAGAATTATCCAGTCTACACCAGAAAATGAACCATAGCAATAGTGACACCATACAGGTACTTTCAAAAGAGTTTTCATGTTAACATGAAATAATTCAAATCTAACAGTCCTATAAAATACACCCTCTACATCTCCACAAATCTGCAGGACCTGTTACACACCCCTGTCATTGCAAGCAGCCCAGTGGACTAGACAAAACATTTCTAGCAAGAGGAAATAACCCTTCCTTGTCTCCTCACTCTCAGCATGAGCAGTAAGCCAGCTGAAGGTGATGGGGTACTGGCAGGGCTTTGGAAAAGGCAGCAGCAAGCTCACGTTTGTTGTCTAACTGCTGTATGTTTGTCACATCGAAGATACAAAACATGTCCCTCGTGAAGTACCTGCCCTGATATATTTGACAGCTTTTGAACATGCTGGCACCTTGACTTGCTCTTGAAAAAGTTTTGTAATCTGAAATCCTTTCAGTTCTCAGTCATTATTCAAAAGCTTCCCAGGAGGCTGGGAGTTGAGGGCACAGGCAGCAGAAACAGAGCTCCCAACATGTAAGGAGGATAGTCCAGGGGGCCCTCAGCATTCCTTACCAGCACCATGCTGGTGTGCATGACCTCGTGCTTTGACAGGCAAGAAGGAAATCTGCAAAGCTACCAGGGTTCAGTGGTGAGCTGGCACAGAGCAGCCTCT